TGATTGCATGTCCGTGTACTGCATACGAGGCAAGAGGTCTCCCTTGTAGCACATATCCTCACTATAATTATATATAGTATTTGCTCAGAAGCCTTGGCAGCGTAGGGCTTATGTGTTGGGGCTCGATCCGCAAGGTCAGCCATTTGAAACCAGCAGCCGCTCCATGGGAGACAAGAGTTCCAGTCTCAGAAACTCACAGGAGCAGTTCTACCCTGTCCCACAGGGTCGCTAGGAGTCGGCATCGACTCGCTGGCAGGGAGTTTTATAGCTTTTTGCATCTGCTTCCCTCACTAGACTGCGACCCCCTCGAAGGAGGCACCGTGTGCGTTGTGGAAGCACTGGCGTTCCCGCCCACCCCACCCCCATCCAACTTCTGGTTTTAACCTTTGGAGCCATGGGCATTTTCTCCAGTGTGTGCATGGATATTGGGGTCTGCTTTTCCCTGCTTTGGGATACATTGCTACTGTTCATGGGAGGTGGTAGAGAACACTGGGCCAGGGGGCTTCAAGAGGGCACTGTCATTTACCAGCCAGACCAGAATGCGACAGCCATCTTCTCCCACCTGTAGGCCGGTCCCTGGAGCCATTGCAAGTTCTGCTCAAGCAAGTTCTTTGTGGGGCAAAGTTAGCCAGGACAAGTTCTTTTCTTAGGGAGACAGAGCGGGACCCTGAGTGCCACAGGAGAGCGCCCCCTTTGGGGTGACATTGGTTCAATCAAAATAAGAGCTTTCTTTCCTATAGGCCGGCTCTGGATAAGCTGTGTTGTTGTTGCTGTCAGTGAGCTTCCAGCACACTGACCCCATGCACAATAGGACACCTTCCTCGTCACAACTGTCACTTTGTCCGAGTCCATCGTTGCAGCCACTGTGTCGTTCCATCTCGTTGAGGGTCTTCCTCTTTTGTGTCGACCTTCGGTTTTACCAAGCATGGTGTCCTCCAGGACCTGCTTCCCTTCTGATAACATGTCCAAAGTACGTGAGAGCAAGTCTTGCCTGCCTCGCGTCTGAGGAGCATGCTGGCTGGACCTTCCTCTAAAGGCAGTATTGAAAAGAGCCTCTGCCTCAAAGAGCCAGGAGATGCAGCCTCTGGGATCTGCACTGGGTCTTGCTAGCTTACCTTGAACAAGTGATGTAACCCCTCTGAGCATCTATTAATAGTAACCCATGTCACCTCATAGGCAGTGGAGGAGGGGCATGCCAAGAATCTTCTCCATATAGAAAAAGAATGCTTAGAAACTAATTGTGGTAGCAACTGTACATTCTAATTGACATGACTGAAATGTGGAATGATATATGTATTAAATCCCAAGTTTTAAAAAAAACGATTTCTGTACTTCTCTGGTTATTTCATCATGCCCACAAATTGTCTCCAACTAGACTGAAAGCTTGAAAGTTCAAGTCTGTGCTTCCTGCTGTGTGTGTATGTATATGTATGTGTGTGTGTGTGTGTGTGTGTGTGTGTGTGTGGTAGACAAGTCGACAAGGGTTACCCATAGCATTGGACACCTATTTGTCATTACATAAACAATCATGAACACAATGTAAAAAGTTGGCATCCAGAACTTTCTGTGGTGTGCATTCAAACAGGATGGCACTATGTACCCAAGAGCTGATCTTCCGCATTGCCTGCAGGCCTGTTGTGGGTTAACTGTGTCCTCCAAAATTGTGTGTTGTAAATCCTAACCCCTCTACCTCTTGTTATAATCCCCTTTGAGCATAGACTTTCGTTTTTATGCTTATAGGACAGTATTAGTGTACAAAAAACGTTGCTACCACTTGATTCCAACTCATAGCGATTTCAGAAGACAGAGGAGAACTGCCCCTTAGGGTGTTCTAGATTGTAAATCTGCATGAGTGCACACAGCCTCATCTTTCTTCCTCAGAGTGACTGGTGAGTTTGAACTAATGACCCTGTGGTTACCAGTCCAACATTTAACCCACTGTGCCACCAGGGCTCCTGTGTTTGTGAGTGAGCAGAGCTAAGACAGGTGCAGAGAGATGCTATGCCACCTGAAAACTGCTCAGGAACAGTAGCTCAGAAGAGACAAGGACCCTCCTTCAGAGCCAACACAGACAGCTCTCCGTTCTCTAAGCTGCCACCCCAATTTCGGGCTTTGAATCACCCCTGCAGACAGGAAAGGTGTCCTGGTGGTGCTGTGGATTAGGCATTGGGCTGCCAAGCACACGGTCAGTGGTTCAAATCCACCAACTTCTCTGTAGGAGAACGCTGAGACTGCCTGTTTCCAGAAACATTTATAGTCTTGGAAACTCTTATGTAGGGTAGCTATGAGTCAGCATTGACTCGACGGCAGCAGTCGACACAGAGAGGAATTACATTTCTATTTGTTACATCCATCCACTTGTGGTACTTCTGTTACGGCACCACTGGAGTAGGATAATGTCTGGGTCGAGGCCACTCATCACCTCACTAGCCATAGTGACCCTCGATTGACTCTGGAGAGGACACACACACACACCCTGGGACACTACTCATGTGCACTGCACCATGTCTCAGAGATCATTCGAAAGAACATAACTAGGCACACTGAGGTGCATTCACTTCTCCTCTGCTCCCAAACCCTGGGCACGTGTTCCTTGGAAGAAACAAGCAGCAACCAGCTATCCAAGGTCTCTTGAGTCAATTCTATCTTCCCCTGGTGAATGACAACTTCATGCAGACACAATGGAGCACCGAGACAAATGACATAAACAAGAGCTTCACTGGGCATGGAGAGTGACATCAGTTTTCCCAGAACCCCACTTAGCATGATAACAAGGTCTCAAGTGCTTAGGCTGTTCTTTCAGCTTCAGGGTCTGGCATACAATTATGTCCTCCATTCTACAGGATGGCCAGGCCAGCAAAGTAAAGCAGAGTGACCCTCACTGCCCCACCCCCACTCCCACTCCATCTGCAGAACAGAGAGCATTGCCTGAACAGTCCTTGGATTGCACCGGGAATGTTCCCCCTTAGAACATCTGCCTTGTGATCTTATTCCAGGCGAGTGTGACCTGGTGAGGCAGTATGGATGGGTCAATGAAAATTCATTAGGAAAAAAATCATTAGTATCATCTTCGGTCACTAAGCATGGACCAAGTGTAATCCTGAAGACGAACGTCTATACTTAAGCTAGGCCATCTTTCATGGAGGTACCTGGAGCAGCAATGCATTCTGAGCGCCCTCACACACCACCGCCATACAGATTACAGCGCCAATCTTGGGGTGCGGGCGGTTATCGAATGTCATGATCACGGAGCATCAGCGCCTGCTACAGCATGTTTCTGTACTGGGGGCTTCCAGGCATGGGACAGGTTCCACAGAAGTGACCCTACCCTTCTAAACAGGAACAAGAGGGTGACATACATTCATCCATATCCGGAGGGGAAAATCCAGTCCAATTCTGGATTCAAGTTTTGAACGCCAATCAATTTCAATTATACCAAATACCTAGAGGCTATGGACACACACACACACACACACAAACGGATTGTATTGCATGGGTCATTTCCCTAGCTAAGCAAGTCACAGGATTGGGGGGGGGGGATTGTGCTTCAGAGCTGTCCATCAAGTAGAATGTGATTTCACAGGACTTGACCACCTCTCTCTCTCACACACACACACCCTAAACCCACCACCATAGAGCCAATTCTGACTCACAGTGACTCTAACTAGGGTTTCTGAGGCTGCAAATCATTACAGGTGTGGACAGCCTCATCTTTCTCCCACAGAGCAGCTGGTGGGTTTGAAACACAGACCTTTCCAGACGAGCACTTACCTGGCCACGCTCCACCCCCCTGCACCCCCAGCCCCAACTTCGGGCTGGTCATTGTGCACTCCCCCCCAAAACCCAGCTACTTCTGGATAGAAAAGCTAGTCCCCAAATAGATCAGCCCCTCCCTTTAGACGAGACTTCTGATCTACACAATACCAAACGTGGAACTTCAGGTAGCCTCAATGTGAATTCCCTGCACATACCAGGCTAGAAAACGTTAGTTCTTTACAGGAAGATTCCGCCCACCCACCCCACCCCTGAGTCGGTTGCCAGCAAAAAGAGAGACACCCAGCTTTTGCAAGCCTCATACTTCTTTCCCTGCGTCCCCAGAGACAGAGGCCAGCTCCACAGGTTTGGTCACAGCAGGCCCAGTTTATCAGAACACGCACCCCCAGACAAGCCCCCAGAAGTCCGCAAAAGGCCAGTCAGGTGCTGAGGAGTGGGGTGCGGGATGGAGAGCCCAAATACGCAGTTTGCCACCTATAGACCAGGCAACTGCACTCCACACCGATGGTCACTCAGGATCTCGAGGCACACAGCAGGAGCCGAGAGACAGCCGGACACACGCCAGGCCAGGGAAGGAGGCACACACAGAAACATAGGCAGACTCATCTAGCGGCCCAGGCAGAAGCCGGGCGCCGTCGCCCGCCCGGGGAAGGCGCGAGAGCGCGCGCAGGCACACATATGGGCGCGCGCGCGCGCGCGCACACACACACACACACACACACACACACACACACATCCAAACGCAGTCACATATGTAATGCATATAGAGAAACCCTAGCCCAGCCAGTCACCTCCCCGCCCCCACGCCACTCACCGCCTCCGGCCCCAGACTAACCCCCTGCTGAGGACCGGGCCCCGCGGGCAGCCTGGGGCAGGGCGCGGTCCGGAGGTCGCAGGAAGGCGGAGCAGGGCCCCCGGGGGCTTGGCGGCTTCGGTGGCCATTCATTCGGCAACGCCCCAGCGGCGGGCTGGAGCAGCTGCAAGGGAGGCGGCGGAGCCGACTGAGGCTCCTAGGGCGATACCAGCGCCTCCTTCCTCCCACAGGCTGGCCAAGCCCCCCACCTGCCCGCCAGGACCGGCGCCCTAGCCGCTGACCCCCGAGGCAGCAGTGCCTCCGTGCCTGGGCTCCGGGATGCTGCCCAGTGCGCTACGGCGGCGGGGCTGGCTCTCCGCAGCCCTTCCCAGGGCCCCCGACCCGGGCGCAGGCCCCCAAGCCCCGCACTTACCACCTGGCGAGCTATGTCGGTCGCTGCCATCGCTCCTGCGTCCGCCAGGGCTGCCAGGGGCGCCGCCGCAACCGGAGCTACAGCACAGGAAACAGCGGAGCTGCTCCGACAAAGAGAAAGTGTTACACTTCGGGCGCGACCAAGTCCGGGGACGGGGGGAGGCGCCAGGGAGGGGGCACCCCCGCGCGCCGTTCCAGCTCCAGTCTCTCCTGGATCGCCCACCCCCCGGAAAGGGGAGGGGTAGGAGGGACGGATGACGCGCGGTACCCCACCTCCGGGAGCAGGCCCGGGTTCTCCCTGCAGCTTCAGCCTCAGGCCTCGGCCAAGGGGGGCGGGGGCTCCACCTCGGTGACCACGTCCCTTGTCCCCCCTCCACTGGACTCCGTGGTACGTCCCGACCTCTGCGAATTGTCACACCCCCCTGCTCTCGCCTAACATCCCAGCGTCCCCAGACCCCAGGGGGGGCTGCGAGTGAGCCCCTGCCCCTGCCCCCTCCGCTCTCCGCTGGGCTGCTGAGCTCCGCAGTCCTCCGCCCCTCTCCTCGCACCCGCACCCGCAGGGTGCACAGAGTGCTGACCTGGGGTGTACGCCGCTATAGCCTCGAGTACCCCCCTCCCCGTGGCTCCCCGAGGCGCTGAGGCCAGCTGCGGCACCTGCTGCCCCGCGGCGGAACCGAGAAAGGGGGCGGCCAGGGAGCCGCACTGCGGCCGAGCGCGCCAAGGGATGATGACAGGCGGAGCGGGCGGCCAAGGGTCCAAAGACGCCCCTTCGAACCTGGTTATCCAAGCCTCGAGGGGCAGTAATTTCGAGAAACCGAGTTTATTACCTTCTGGTCTTCAATCCGGAGGAACCCTGCTCCCCTCTTCACCGCCCAGCTCTAATGCTCTACGGGGAGCGGAGTCCCCCAGGACCTACCCCTGCCAATGGTGGGATCGCAGGGAGTGCTGAGAAGGGCTGGTCCCAAAGGACGCACCCCGGCCGGCCGGCCAGTCAGAGGGGTGGGATGGTGGGACCCAGGTACTTCTTCTCCAGCCTAGATTGCCCCTGAGCCCTTGGACGGGCAGTGAGGGGGAACTGCTGAAAGCTTAGCCAGGCACGCCTGTGCTCCTGGCCCACCGTCACAGGTCCCCTCTCTAGTCTGGTCGCCTCCCCTCCGGCCTGGGAACCCTCCAGTCTCTCCTGTGAATGGCTCCTGGCTCCCTTCATGTGACAGGCAAGTCGGGTCGGTTTGGCGCTTAGCGGCAGGGGCGGGAAAACCAACCCCACTCCACTCCCCAAAAGAGCAGCAGAGAGGGACAGGCGCCCTGGTCTGGGAGAGGGAGCCCGGGGCAGCGGGAGAACCCAGGCTGTCGGGGGACGGGGACTCCTGGCCTGTGAAGGGTCCTGGATGGAGCGCTGTCGGTGACTCTGCGTGGGTCCACAGCAGGACCGAACAGACGAGGAGAAAGAAGAGAAACAGGAGCCGGAAAAGAATTCAAGGCCAGCGGCTCCAGCCTTAGGAAACTACTGGTGAAGCTCTTCCCAGGCACGGGTTTCCCAAGGTCCGGGCCAAGCTGCCCACCCTGTCTCAGGCAACTGTCTGTTCTGCGACTGTCCTGGGGACAAGAACTCACCCACATGCATCCCCTGTGCCTAGCTCTGGGCCTGGCATTCAGGGGGCGCCCATTAATGGGTGTGTCCTGTCCTGAATAGAATTGAAGTGAAGTGGGGAGAGGGGGGAATCCACTGTGTGCGAGTGCGGGGGAGGGGCGGGGGGGCGTTGGAAGAGAGAAGACACAATGGTGGATTAGCAGTAGGAACAGTCAGCTAGGAATTCAAGGAGGGCCCAGTGTGTGGAGACGGAGGAGAAGCTCCAATTGCAGAGATGAGAGAGGCAGCCGGGGATCACTACAGCGGAGTTCTGGGTAGAATGAACAGATGGTGGCAGCAAGGCTGAAGGGTTGCTGGAGCCCCGAGGTCAGTTGAGGGGCTAGGGCAAGGCTTGGGGGGTAGGTGCAGGGTTCTGGAGTGGGGGGGTGGCTGTGACAAAAGTGACCCAAGAGGTGTCTGAGGAACAGCTTTAAGGCTTGGGCCCCAACCTGATAGGGCAGGGAGTCAAACATGATCCGCCTCTTCCAAGAGGGGTTGTTTTGGACATGTGGAATGGCCAAGGGTCATTAGCTGCGACCGGAACTTGTGTGGGGCCGATGGACTGGGAAGCCAGAGGTAAGAGCATCACTGAGTGGGGCACGGCGGGACGGGGCCGGGCGGGGCCTGCGCTGGCAGGCTGCCTGACCCTGAGAGCTCCATGAACCCCATGAACTCCCCGTGGCTCAGGATGCACTGTTCCTCCAATCTGAGTGCTCTCAGCCGGCCAAAGCTCAGGACATTCTGGCTCTGCACAGGCGGCGCCTTAGCATGGAATCCGTGTTGGGCTTGTGCACGCCACTCAGCGGCCCTCCCACCAAGGACCTAGCAGAACCCCTCTCCAAGAGAACGCTGCATCTCACACTAGTGTCCAGCTTAGAATTCTTGTCTACTGCCCTTGAGTCTGTCCAAGGCCTGCTGCCTGGGGCTGCCACCCTGCAGAGGGCCTGGACCTGCAGGCTGTGTGCGTGTGTGTCTGTGTTGAGGAGGTGTGCATTTGTATATATCAGTGTGTGTGCCCTCTGAAGGTGGGTGTATTTGCATGTGTCAGAGTCTGTGTGTTGCCATGCGTGGTCATTTATATATGCTCTTATTGTGGGGCAGGGTGTCTGTGGATGCCAATGTGTGTGCAGACTGGCATAGGTCTGCGCCCCTGTGGAGATGTATTGATGTATACCTGGGACACAGATGTAAAGGTGTGTGTGTGCCTTCATTGTGCATTGGTGTGGATGAGTGCTCCTCATTATGTTCCTTGGTGTGTATATGTTAGTATGTGTGTCAGTGTGTGCGTGTGTATAAAGCTCACTGTATTCTGGCTTTATATACCTTGCTTCACTTAATGCAATAGACCTGTAATTGACAAGGTGTGCATTTTGCTACTCCTTTGACTAGAAGGAGCCCTGGTTGCTTAGTGGGCTACATGTTGGCCTGCTAATGCAAGGTCAGCAGTTCAAAGCCACCAGCCACTCTGAGGGACTTCCCATAAAGAGTGACAGTCTCAGAAACCCACAGGGGCAGTTCTACCCTGTCTTATAGGGTCGCTGAGTCGACATCAACTTGATGGCAATGAGGATTTTGAATTTTTGAGGAGAAGAAAGAGGTTGGGATAAACCCTAGGCTCATCTTTTGTCCTGCCGGTAACACGATTAGATTGGCCTAGGCAGGAGAATCGGGAGGGCTTGAGGAGGTGCGAACACTCATGAGTGATCACTTGGTGGGTTTCCTTCCCACTGATGAGCCTGGCTGGAAGATCCCCTCACTAAGAGCCATTGTGAACTGTCCCGCCTGACTGTGGACGCATACGTTCAACATGTCCCCAGCCCAGTCCCCTGGGGCCCAGCATGGTGCCTGGCAGGTACTCAATCAACATTTGTTGAGTGAATGAATGAACGGAAGCTTGGGAATGTGACATTTTCAGTGTTTTCCACTGTCCATAGGAAACTGGAGCATGCTGTGACTTCCCAGGGCCAGCAGGTGACTGTCACCAGCATGTTGATGCGTGTTTATGGAACCAGACTCCCGGGGAGGGGAAATGGCTACCCTGCTAGATAAAAAACACACACCAAAAAAACCCCACAAAGTCAGACTGGGACCCAATTGGAGCCAGGCTTTAGAAAGGTCACTATCTGCTGAGGATTGGGGGTGGGGTTGGGGTGGAGGAAGGGAGGTGAAGGTTGAAAGTGGGGGCAGGGAAATGAAGTGGGGTTAGAAGCTCAGGAAAGGGCTTTGTTCTGAGACTGGCTTTGTGAAAGGAGAAAAAAAGGACTGTGAACCCTAACAGCATAGTGGGCTATGCACTGGGCTGCTAACCTCAAGGTCAATAGTTCAAAACCTCCAGCCTCACAGAATGTGAAAGAGGAGACTTTCTACTCCCGTAAAGAGTTAGATTTCCCCAATAAAATGGTCTTTAAAAAAAAAAAAGAGTTAGAGTTTGAGAAATTCACAGGGGCAGTTCTTACCCTGTCTCATAAGGTCCCTAGAACCAACTCAATGTTCTGACTTGATAGCAGTGAGTTTGGTTTGGGGGAGAGCTGGTCTAAGGTAGAGAAACGTTGAGCACAATCTGAAAAATCAGTCAGAGAAATGGAGGAGGAGGCAAAGCAGACAGCAGGTGAGCGGTGGGTAACTGTATCCAGATAGGGCCAATGGAATCTAAAGCTCATTTGAGGGGCTGTATTAAGATAGACTAAGGGTCCCTCTGTGCCTTGTGCCCTTGCTTTTGCATTCATTTATTCCAGTGGGTCTCCAAATGGAGCCTTTTGTCCAGCTGCAGCAGTGGCATCTGGAGCGTCACTAGAAATGTGAAGTCTCAGGCCCCACCCTCGATCCACTAAATCAGAACCCCTGGGAGGACGTTCCATTTTATTTGGCACACACAAGATGGGGCCATCTTTGGGCTAAGCCTTCCAGAGGCTTCTTCTACATGCTAAAGTTTGCAACCACTGAACTATCTGAACATTTAGCCCTGCTCAGATGGGACACAGGAGTCATAAGGTTTCGTAGGATTAAAAGGACAGAAATCAGTTGCCATAGCATTCTAATTCATGGAGAGTCCATAAGCAGATTGCCAGGCCTTTCTTCCAAGGTGCCTCTGGGGGAGTTTGACCTACGGAGCACATAGCTGATTGTGCCATGTGGGGATTCCTTAGTTCCAAACCTGGGCTGTTGCCAATAATGGGTAGCATGGGAACATGTATTTTCAATCACCTCTATGCACATGACAGTTGGATTGTGAACATGGAGGACCAGAGATAAATTGAGGCAATTGAATCATGGTGCTGGCGAAGAATATTGAAAGTCCCGCAGACTGCCAAAAGAACAAACAAATCTGTCTTGGAAGAAACACAGCCAGAGTGCTCCTTCGAAGAGAGGATGGTGAAACGTCATCTCATGTACTTTGGACATGTTGTCAGGAGAGACCAGTCCCTGGAGAGAGACATCATGCATGGTAAAGTAGAGGGACAGCCAAAAA